TAAATATATTCTAATAACAAAAACACGAACTAGAACTGCGAAAAGAACAGTTTGCGAATTATTTCCTTGACATTGTAGCCTAGAAACATCAGGAAATGTCTATAAAATTGCTTCAAATCGCAAAACAAGAGAGATCAATCCTAGTAGACTACACGTTAAAACGATTAAGAACTGGTCAGGATCAATTTCTATCAATTTTCCTAACATCATTTCACTCTCAAGTATCCAATTCTGAGCTATTTGCTACTATATAATACGATACGAATTTCAATTCTCACAGCATTTTCGATCGACATAAATTCCCAACCTCAATCATAAGTGAAAACAATGGACGACATATCTTATAAACATCCTGATTATTTGTTGACGTGACTTTAAACAAAATTCTAGTAATTGCTAACAACGTTTCTATTGTCCAAAGTTAGTGTCGTGTCCCTATAGAGTTATTTTGTGTAATTTTTCGTGAATTGTTTTTTTTTATATATATATAACATCGTCATAAATCAATAAAATAATATAAATTTTATTATAATTCTTCTTCACGTTCAAAAAAAAAACAAATTTCCTTATTTGAAAAATTTTTCCTTAAAATCAAAGATTGTCTCCAAACAGTTACAAGCCTTATAAAAAATATATACTTAAAAACAAATAGTATAATGCCTCTTTCTTCCTATTTTATTTTTATTTTTTTTTTTCTGTTATATTTAATGACGTAACGATAACAAAAGAACACTTGCAATTACACTATTAAGTAAGTAATAATGAATGTGATTAGTTCAATAATTGAAATTACTTCATTAAGAAAGCATTTAAATTAGTTTAATTTTAACACTGTAATTTTATTTTTTGTAAATTAATTTAAGGACTTTATACTTATTTTTAATGCATATATAATGGATTTTTCTAAAATTTTTACTAGAAGGAATTTTTCTATATATATATAAGTAAATAATGCTTAAATTTTTGGTAAATGATGGTAGAAAACTATTCATTTAATAACAGTTGTTAACATAAAACGGTCTGTTTGTTTAGAAAAACGATTATTTTTGAGTCACTTTTGTTCCAGGTGATAGGTTTCCTTTCTTAACAGTATTTTATATGTATTAAAGATTTTCTACAACTACAAAATGTTAAGATATCGAACGAAGTAGAACAGTTATTGCCTTAGGAAAATTTTTATACAAAACAAATCGACATTTTCTCTACAGGGTTTAACGAACTGTTTTTTTTTTTTTTTTTTTAATTAGACTCCCCTAAAATATGCATCATCATCTACATAAATGTAATTATTAAATTATTAATTAATTAATTAATTAAACAGTTTCATTCATGACGGGCGAAACGTGAGTAGGGTTGCACGCTCTTAAATTAATTTAAAAAAAAAAAAAGAATATTTTTATGAATGAAAATGTGTAAAACGCCTTTTTTGGTTCGATTCATTCAAAATATTTTACTGAATTAAATTGAGTTGGGTGTTACCGAAAAACCTATTTATCACGGACATTTTTGTTTAATATGACAATTCAACAATACAGTAGCTTCGGTGATTATATATTTTTTAAAATTGTATATTGTCTTCTTGCACGATAATTGAATAAAAACGGCTCTAATTTATATGAATAATATAGAAAGAAATGTCCTTTCTCTCTTCAATCCCTTCATTGTTTTCTTTTCTTTTTTTCTTTTTTTAGTTTGGTTGGTCGGTAACCTAAAGGGTCATGTATACCGTTCATCACCACGTTTGTTGCGTGACTTTGCGTGACAGATACGATGTTTCCGGGTCACGAAGTAGAAGATTCACGAAAATGGGAAGATGGGAAAGAAAAAAAAATAATAAGTAAACTTAAGTCAAAACTCCGAAACAAAATGTTAAATATACTCTTAGAGAGATCGAGTGGGTTACTAACCCATTTTGTGCAATGGGATATATAGATTAAGCGGTTTTTTAAGTAATGATACCTTTCATTTATTCACGGTGCACTTGACAATAGACTGTAAGATATAGTAGTGCACAAAATTTAAGGAGTTTCTTCCCCCTTTCGCTGTTTTTTTTCTCTACAAACAATGCATTTGAGGCACGCCCATAACAGGTGTTCCACCTACAACTGATAGGTGCTCCATTTTACAAATCATAATCATGTGACATAGCTAAAGTAACTTAATAACATTATATAGAACAATTGACTTCAATCTTTCATTTAAAAGTAAGTTTATCTCGTAGGATAACAATAAACCAAGAAACAAAATGGTTCCGCTTTGTTTTTCTAGTCATATGGAGTGAAATTTCGTTTTTTTTACTAAATTTAATATTCGAAAAATAAATTTTACCAATTCTTTTACTACCTTTCTTTTTTCCTAATGGTCCCTGAAGCTGTTAAACCTGTTGATAAAATCACATTAGTTTACCGACGCAAGGCCGCTAACCATGCTGAATAAAAAAAAAATAAAAATAGAAAACAATAAGAAAACCGGACAGAGCCGTCTTGTCTAGTTTAAAAGTACGAATTGGATTTTAAATCGGCTTAATGGATAAGAGAAAGTTGTAGGACGATGTTATTAACATGTAAATACACAAAATAGGAAGGAAGTGTCTACCAGGCCTTCGGGCTGAGGTCACTGTACTCTATTATAACTACAAAAGTAGCATCGTATATGTCAAATTATTTCTTAAAATATTCTTAAATAATGTTTTCAATAATAATTTATGATTTATAAAGTGAAAATATAAAAAAAAAATTATAATTTTATAAAAAATAATTTTTGATTTTTTTTTCCGTATTGCCATGTTACACTTTTAGGGGTCGCTTTAATCGTCACGTGATAATTGTAGCAGACGACCTAGAAGCAGAACAAAGCGGCTATCTTCGTTATCTGAGATTAATTATTCTTTTGTCTCCCTTTTTTTTAAAAATAACTGGACTTTAATCGTTCATTAAGATGAATTTAAGGAAAATTTTCAAAGCTTTTATTATCAGCAGCAGTTTAAAATTAATGAATTGTTATTTATCAACGTAACAGTTTAAAAGAAAAGTAAGAGTTAGGCCTAAATTTGTATTTAAAATTAAAGGAAAAATATTACAAAAAAATATAAAAAATTAAGTTTTATGCTGCATTTTTATCGGGCAAATGACAATAAAAATAAAGAATTTATTATTTATGAGAGAAAATTAGTAAATAAAATTGAATTTAAATTTTATTAAACAAAATGCTTGCATTAAACTAAATTTTAAGCTATTTAAGTAATATTTTAAAATTTTATATAATAAATTTTCCTTATATACACACATACACATTACATAATTACATATATATAATCATATGTAATGTACAGTTCATTACAGAACTAAATACAGCGGACTCTCGCTAATCCGGTCATTTCTTGTGCAGATGAGTGTCGGATTAGTGAGAGTGCCAGATTATTGAGAGTTCAAATTAGCAAGAGTCTACTATATTATTCACAATAAGAATGGTATTATTTCGGATTCCTACTTTTCTTAATTCCTTATTAAAGTACAAATACAAATTATTACAAACAAAATATCTTAATTGTACTCCTACTTAAGTCATTTATGGTTTCACTGCTTTGTGCAATAAATAATACAAATAAACATAAGAACATCAAAAATTCTCCTTTCTTTTTTAAAACCACATTTTTTTTTCCTTATACTTTGAAATTATTTACAGTTACAAGTTAAACGTCTTGAATAATTTACAATTTGACAGTATAACATTTTTAACTGTTAAGTAATTACAATACAATCTTAATTAAATTTAAAATGGAGTTTAATTAATAATGTGTATATTATCAATTTAAAAAAAAATTAATATATATTAAACTTTCCAAAACCTTATAAAAATAAAATACGGTATTTTTACTATTAAAAAATAATATTGATAACATTAATTTTATACATTTTTAGATCGTGTTTTATTAATCTTTATTTAGAAAATGTTTGTTCTCTTTTCATTTGATTTCGTTAAAAAAAAAAATGCGACTTGTATTTTAAATAGAACACGTGTTTTCATATTTTTTTTATACGTTTAAATCCTGTTTTGATTTGATCAAAAAATTCTTCTTAAATATAAAAATATACTGTCATGTATACTATAATATGAGAGAAAATAGTTTATTGATAATATATAAATAAAAAGTTCATAAAGAAATATTTTTAAGTAAATGGATAAAATTGTGTAAATAAATAAATTAAATGTAGATTAGTAAATTAAATTAAACATTTAAATAAGCTATTAAGAGAAATAAAATTTATCTACTTCATTACAGTAAACACGCGTGGTGAATGAATAAATTCAATGATATACAGTCTAATGGATGGCATAGGTTTGGTGAGTTTCCTTTCTTATTATCTCTTTTAACTAGTGAATTTATAAAGATAAACTGCATTTCTTCCGATTTACTTGATAACTTTTTAGTATATTTATTAAAACATACATATATATTAGTTTTAGAGACGATATACCAAAGCAGTACTAATATAAAGAAGATATTAATGTCAATGTTTGTAAGCGAATTTTCGATTACAAATAACAAAAGAATATTTATAATTTTATAGAACAGTTTTTGCCAATAAATATTTATAATATAAAAATTTCCCTGTTCGGATTATGTAATATTCACCCTATTCGCTATAGGCTATGGCGCCGATTCTTTTTTTCTTAATATTCGTATACGGTTATTTATGACTATTTAATTATAGAAAATATAAAAGAGGGAAAATAGTTAAAACGATATATCGAAACAAAAATACAGGAGACAGAAAAATAAACTTTGACAATTAAAGCAATTGCAATTTATAATTAGGTCTAGTAGACTAATAATAAATCCAAGTAATTATAGCGTGTAGGGTGCTCGTAAGTGTTCGACCCAAAGACTTAACTGTATTTTTTTTTAATTTTTCTAAATATTAGAAATTATTATCGAGCGAGAATGCTACTAAAAATATTTAAAAAAAGGCAAGAAACGAAAATAGATATGCACTCACCTGTGAATAAAAGGGTCACGTAAATGGCCCGATACCACTTCTCACACCAATCCATAGCTACCTGTTGGACCATAGATACGACATGACGATTTGCCGGACCATGGTATGAAACTAAACATCCAAACCCCCCACAGCTAGAGAGCTGGACGAAACGTAACGTTCATTCCTTTATAGATTTCCGAACGATACTTAGCCCAACTCAACCCGCTCACTAGCAGAAGACGAACTGCGCGATCTAGGTAACCGGCATCCACGTAACGGTGCATGGGTTGTGACACAGTTCCCGTTACTTGTGGCTCGAGGCATCGACTGGCTTATAACTGGTTTTGACTCCGTTTTGCTTGTCTGCCTTGAGAAGGTGTTGCGCCTTATTGGAAAGTTTGGCCAATACAACGTCCTTGATATCGTTTCTTTTCTTTTTCGCCTCATAAGGTACACTTATCACTAAATATATGAGATTTTTCTATAAAAATCTTTAAATATACACGTGAGAAATTCTATACTTTCTCTCTATTCTCTTCTAGTTCTCATTTGCATTTGGCATTTCACCTTTCTCGTTCTACAGAACCGCCCTTACTTCTAACTTGGTACATCTTGATTTATGAAGAGAAAGATAAGGTTATTTTAATGTAGTTTCGTTTCGTGTTAAGCAGGTACTACCTGTCTGTTCTGTTCTTTTCCAGTCTATAAAATCTAACAGATAATTTTACTTTATATAAAATCCACTTTTACCTGAATATTTCAATAACTTTTATGAAATAAATTAATGTGTGAGAAAGTACTGCCATGAATAATTACATATTTATATTCTTCCTGCTTATTTAAATAAATAATATTAATGATTATTTTTACAATTTTTATCAATTCTTCTGAATAAAAATAAAAATAACATAAAATACTTTTCAAATCTCTTAATGAAGTATTTACTGTGTTAATTAAATCGAATTTACATTGAAATACTGTATGTGTTGATCTGTTAATACATTATAATTAAGTTATTTTTGAATGAATTTTATAATATTTTAAACATTTTTAATTACGTTATCGGCCAAATGAAATATTTCGATCGTATTCTAACAATCGGGTGACGTACGATATGGATTCATTGTTCTGTCAAATTAATAAAACGATTGTTACAAGTTGCCTAATCAGTTAAACCAAATAATGTCCAAGTTCATCATTCATGGGAAATTTGGAAAAACTTATCAAAAATTGAGTGATTCGAAAACATGGAATGACAAAAAGGATTTGCAAGTGCTTCAAGGTAAGATATCGACGTTTATACACAAAAATTAAACAAATTTACTCTCATTTTTGTTTCAATTATTATGATTTAACGATTCGATTTTGAAACATTTGCTTATTTTATATTTCTTTTTTTTTTATTAATACAGAAAACCATTTCAAAGAATTCTTGACAGTAAGTGTTTTTCTATTATTTCTGATGATTTTCGTATATAACAGTAAGACTATTTTATAATATTATTTAATATATAAACACTTAGTTATTATATTTTAATGTTTTCACGACTTAATTAATTTAATCTCATTATTTGTAATGTTTAAAATATTTTTAAATGGATTAATTCATATTTGAATATATTATAATTTGATTAAATGGTTTGCTATAACTTTAGAAATTTTTAATTTTGTGGACACTCATGTAGGCTTATATTGTTCTTGATATGCAAGGGTGTTATCTAATTCTTTTTGTTAGCGACCCCCGTTTGGAGTAGTGGAAGGCCGTGACATTATCCTGGAATTTGGTTGTTGATCCTGGGAGTCGCGACCCCTTTGGTTGGGACACCATTTCTATATCAATGACAGATTCCTTAAATTTAATCCTAACTTAAAATCTGTAATTTATATTTATATCTTCTATAAAATGTGAGCATTGTTTTGTTTATAATAATGAAAATTTTTCTTTTCATTTTAAATTTATATATAATTTATCAGTTCTCATTCTCATTTGAAATATGACAGGCAACAATTTCAGTCCCCTCACCTAAAGTTTTTAGAATGTCGCGTTTTAAGCTTGTTCTTTTGATATAATGTTAAGTTACTGATTAGGTTATTCTTAATTNGAACTCCTCCATCTTTTAGGATGATCTAAGACGGAGGAGTTGAGAAGAAGGGGCATTGTCCACGTTGGAAATGATCCGAGGGTCAGTTAGAAGCCGGAATTTCCTTGGAGCACTCGATCTATCAGGTAGTCCTTGAGCCACTTTAATGTTTGACTAGTTTTCTGTTAAACTTCGACGAGGGTCACACTACAGAACTTCACGTTTAGCATTTTATTCGGATGACAGATGACAGCTTACGTCATCGTTCGTCATTCACTCCACCTTACTTTCGAGTGTGGGAGGTTTTTAAAATTAGAATAACGAGGGAGGAAAGGTATCCATTTTATAAGATTCCCTCGCGTTACAGATATTATTTCACTCCAATTCTGTTTGAGGATATCTATCTGTATATCTCATTTGCATATCTGGATCGGACGTAACGTTACGTTTAGATAGGGAAAAATAATCTTGTTACTTTTTTATGGTCGGTACGTTTCTTGAACATATCACTGTTTGCCACCGTTATCTGATAAATTGCTAATAAATATATATTCCGTGATATACAGGATAAAAGTAGCGTAACGGTGCGTTTCCTTGTATAAATTTTAATTAATAGTTGTACACATCCTGTTACGGCAATTGAAAGAATTTTGGAAAATCTGCAATGGGTGTTGTTGAATTTATTGATGTCAAGGCAAAAAATATTTCTTTCTTTCTTTTTTTTTTATCTGAATGACCCTTCTCTATTGCGGGTGATGTCGACCTTGACTAGACTCACCTGCTGGGTATCAGAGAGTTCAGAAATAGGAGCTCGAAATCCCATTGTTCTTTGATCTTGTAGGTCATTGATGTGAAAAGAAGCCTTTATCATGTTATCTTGATACAGAAATAATTCTATGTTCTCTGTTCTGTGTTCTGTATATTTTAAGCTATGTCTTCTGTGTTTTCTGTTCTGTATGTTTTTAGTAGTGTTCTTTTGACTTCTAAGTGCATGTTTTGTAACAAGCCTCTTAGAAGTCACTCACCTTTTGACAGCCTCAAAATATGAGGCCTAGATCAAAGGCTCCTCCTGTATTAGGGCTTAGTTTATACTTATAAGGAGTTTACTTATCAAAAATAAAATAATTTTATATATGGAACTATAAATATATCGTTGTATTTAGGCGATTTATGGAAAAAAACCCGTTTGGTAAAGTTAAAAATTTCCCATTATTATAATTATAATTTTTCTCTGTTTTTTATAAGTTTATATGTTACAGATATAATATAATAAAAGGTCAACTTTTCTGAGGTTATTTTTGGTAGGCAAATAGAAATAAATCAATTGGGTGTATGATAAATATCGCTCGAGAAACAATGGACGCCTTATGAAATGGAGCGTGATAAAGTGGATACAACTTAGAAAATAGCATGTAATTCAATCTTCGAAATTGTATATTATTAATAGAATTATTCAAAAATTTTGTCATTTTTCATCTATAACCTAGTTTTATATATAGAAATTTCGAATTTTTCTATAATCCCCAATGATTGGGTTTGTCACGAAAGTGTTTGCAATTCGTGTTTATATTGTTTTGTGCATTATAAAAACACTGAAATTCTAGAAACATCAACATCATCATCATCTTACTATTCGCGTGTTAATGGCAATGATCCAAAACGTGTTGCAACTCCTCCTCATCTGCATACTTTATAAAAATAGAGGAATTAAATAATGTCAGTGCTTATATTTTCGAGAGAAATTAAAGTATCTGTGCCACTTAAAATTGCTAAAAAAGCACGAAAAACAACTGTAGAAATCAGCTTAATATATTCTAGAACAGGATTAATTTATGCTAAATCTTAATGTTCAAGGACGAAACTTGAAATTAATTCTTCACACTATCAATTTTTAGAAGGAAGTCGCTTCATAATAAAACCCACAACGAGTCCTTGATACTGTTTCAAGAAGGAAAAAAAAAGAAATGTTATGTAGGAATGTTCCCTGCTAATTTTTTTATTATTATTATTATTAGCTAAATATAATCATATTTGTCATAATGGGTTCATCTTTAATTCCTGTTTGGTTACACGTTGAAGGCGTCGGCGCTTCTTCAAGCGTGCAAAGACTGCAAACATAATTTAAAGAGGTCATCAGGATTAGCAAGATGCCAAGGAAAAAAAAAAAAGAATTTCGAGAGGAATGACTACTTATAACTGGTATATATATATTAAAAAATAGAGTTAATTTATAGGATAACTCCAGGCTAAAATTTGTTACAACTGTCGAAACGTACTTTCTGTGTTGTTGGAATTTGTAGAGGATAATATGTAAATTAACTCGTGAAATCGCTGTAACAATGCAAATAATTTAGTTTTGGTGGATTCAAAAATATTTTACTGATGCTATATAATAACAATCGCTATAACAGTGCAAAAAATATAGTGGACTTTCGATATAGTGAACTTTCAAAGCTTAAGCTAAATATAGATAATTCACTATACACTGTAAAAGTTCGTTAACCAGGCGCTCCATAATTCGGAATGTTCGGTAATCCGACATGCTAGTATTTCGCTCACGTATAGTTTTTGTTTTTTTAACTGTATTATACGTTCATTATATTTTTGCGAGTTTTTAATTAACACAGTAGAGCCATTCACAATATAATCTTCAGATAGATTGATTAAAGAGCGTGAGTAAACAAGTCGGAAGCATACAGCAGTGTATACTAGTATAAAATGTATAGCTATTCTCACAATGTTACCCGCAGAGTGCATGAAACTACTGACACTTGTAGTGGGATACTGTAGTTGTTCATGGATTCACGCCTCACCAACAAGGCTGGCAAGTGGAGTTTTCCGGGTTTTTCTTCACGTTGTAACACTTAAATAGGAGCAGTTTCACATAGGAAGCCCTCTCGTCAAATTACTTAATTCAATATAAACCTATACCTGCAATATTAAAATCGCGCATAATATGAAATTTTATGAAAATACGAAAACGTCTGGTAATCTGGCACCATCTGGTCTCGTATGTGCCGGATTAACGAAAGTCTACTGCACATAAAGAACGACAAAAGCCGATAAAATTGTTTACCATATCGGGTAGTCACTGTATTTAAAAGTTTTGCAATTTAGTGACTAATTCCCTGACGCTTTCTGTAGTAAGAATCATTGACAATAGGGTAACTACAACCATTATTATTGGGAGTCGAATTGGAACGTGCAAACTAACATTCAATCCTGCCACTAGCGATAGAGATGTAGAGTAAAAACTCTTATATAGTGTATATACGCGTGTAGGCTTCATTCAAGTCCTTTTCTTCTACTTATTTGAAATTTTTCTTAATTTATTAAAGGTAAGAAGACCCGGGTTTCATGGGTCCCCTTCCTGGTTACGCTACTAACGCTATAACAATGCGAAATATTTAGGAGTTTTGCTATATTGGTGAATAATAAAACCCTTTTCTGTTGCTCTTTTGTCTTAAATTTGTCGACTGGAACTATTGTTATCGCGCTGTTTCCTTTAATTCGAAGCCATTTCTGTACTACTTTTTTTAAAACTCTGTTACCAGAATAATGAGTTTTCATCCTTGAAAAATGAATAAAAATGTTTTTTTTTC